GTGATAATGATATTTTTAAAATGCATTATATTTTAGAAATAGATACTATGGTATTTTTGGATGAATAATATAATTTATATCTTGGATTTTCTTCAAAATAATGCAGTGTAAAAAACAATGCAGTGCAGACAGAAGAAGTAAATAAAAGCATAGATGAAATAAGATTTTCTTCTTGCAGATAATTGTCATTTATGCAGAGTTGTATTGTGTTACTGTCCCTACATTTGTTTACATTTGAAAACATTCTGAAACAAAGAAAGGAATTAATTTATTAAAAAAAGCAGGATTTAGAGAAAGTCATGACCAAATGAAGTAATGACCAAAAAGAAAAAACAGCGATGAATAATGGTAAGGAAACTGAGCATTTGTCTACTAATCTGTGGAAGGTATTTTTCCTGTGTCTTGGACGGGCACTCCTACGTACAGTCATTCCTCCTTGTGTTTCCAGTTGGAGGTGTTTGGTGGTGCTTTGTGGACTCTCAACTATTTCCATTTCTAATTTTCTTGATAAGAGCTAAACCTCACTGGGCTGTTAGGAACATCTGGTGTTCTCTTTCCAATCATACATATTTTTTAACATATCAGGACTCTTGGCAGCCACCTCAAAGGCCTCCTTCTCTCTCTCTGTTCACACGCTGGCATGTCTCTTGCTGCCACATTCACTCAGGGGTTCTACACATCCAGGAAGAAGCTATTTTAATCCTCCCCCACAAGGAACTGAGCCCAGGTAATAGATCTTACTATTTGGCATGGACATGAAAACGGCAATATTTTCCTAGTATCCTTATGTCACATTATACCAATAATGATACCAATTTTCAGTCCATGGCATTTTAATGAAATAAGAAAAAACTACATCATTACGCCTGCATTGCTGCTATCCAAGATCTGCCTAAGCATTGGATCTAGGTTGAATTCATGATGAGGCCCCATCAGAGTGAAAGGCTGCAGCATGACCCACAACTACTAAAAGTGTTCCTCTGCACAAATACTTCTGAGGAAAGTCACACCATGCCTTCAGTTCATTCTAAGTGTAATGATAGAGCAGTTTTCCTGACAACAAGCTCTGATTATAGCATGGGGAGAAAACTTGAGAGAGGCAGTTATGAGCTGTCCAAGCTGAGAGGACAGAAAGCCACAAAAAGAGGAGATGGAAATGTTGGCAGGGACCAACCCTTATAGCACTCCTAGTTGTGTCTACACTCTGCTGTTTCATTTTGAATGTGCCAACCTCATATCTCTATGGGGAATAAAAATTGAAGTTATTATGAGTATCTTTCAAATAATCAGGAGAAAAAGAGCTATAATCATTTTGGAGCAGATGCACTTTCACCTGTTTCCCTCTGAAAGTAGACCCTTTAATTGACGCTTTTATGGTAAGTAGCAAGTAAATGATGCACACTGGACAGAACCATATATTTCCTCCCGATACAAGGTCACACAGCTGAATTCTAAGTAAGACATAATTTGCTGATATAATTTTTGCCAAGATCCTATATTATTCAAAAGGCTTGAAAATATATACTGTGTATGTAGAGTAATTTAGAGATTTAGAGACTTTTATGGAAGTAAGCCTTTAAAATTTATGGAAATCTAAAAAAGAAGGCTATGTACCTAGAAGCAGCCATTTGTGGGAAAGATGATGAATAGGTAATTGTTTATGTAATTCACAGAACTCAAAGTGTATATTTTTAAAGTAAAGTGTCCCATGAATCAAGCTCCCTACCTGTGGCCATGTTATCACAGCTTTATTAGAGGCAAATACCTTCACTTCTGAGGGCTTTCAGGCATTCATTTGAAGTATCTCACTCATGACTAGGCTTAAGGAAATGTGCATTATTCTCCTCAACCAAAAACAATCTTCCCACTTAGGCATTTGGAGAATGGTTCTAGAAATAAGGAGTTCATTTATTTCCATGCACCTGTGATTTTGTTTGTAAGTCGGATGATGGCTACTGAGTATCTAGTTCAGACTCAGGACTTCTCTTTTCCAAATTATTTCACATCAATTTTATTTAGATGTGACCCAAGAAGCACTGTCTGATGTTTATGATGTCATCTTGTATGTAATATGTAAAAAGAAAGAGGTATTATTTAGCCAATTGGTTGGGAAGGGAGAAAAGGTAACTTTTTATTGTGTTAAGTAAAAACAGAAGATGTACCTAGAATATTTTGTGAGGCAATTCAAAAGAAACAGATGTACTTTTTTATGTTTCTATAGCACTCATATTAATTCTTTTGGTTATAGATAAGTGAGTCATAATCCATAGTATCTCACATATCATATTTTGGTGTGTGAGTGTTGTAGTCAAACACAAGTCATACCTTTCTCTTAAACACATAACAAATACCAGTTGACTTTTTAATTGTCTATAATTGTACATGAACAAAACACTCACCCAAAATTACATCAAATCCAGGTCCACATGAAAATTTAAATAAGATAACAATCAGAATTGTTAATAACTGGTAAGTAGATTTGGGTCTCCCAAATTCCCTATGGGACACTTGCATGAAAAACTGGCAAACAGGGACAAAAAGAGTCTCTCTCCATGACTAACATACACCATGTGCAGTGTACTAATTCCTTGTTCATTTTTTAATATGGTAAAGATATAGGCAAAGAGACTTTGCATTATTCTAGGGTTTGATTACTTGAGTTTGATTGCTTGGAATTAATTCCTTGGATTTAAGTTGTGTGTGTGTGTGCGCGCGCGCGCGCGCGCGCGTGCGCGTGCGCTCTTCCCCCCTACTAGACTCAGGAGGAAGTTGAGTTCCTCTGTGAAAAGCATCTTGGCATGCAGTCAACTCCTTGCTTTAGAGCACCTCCCATGGTTTCGGCCCATTAACCCGAGCACAACAGCTTGATGAATTAATGCTTATATAGGCACAGTTGGCAGCTTCTAATTAAATAATTATGGCTAAGCAGCTGCACGGAAGCTGTTATGCACCCTAGAAAGCCAGCTGTCAGTTTTATTGGTCCTAAGACAGTGGAAGAGTTAATACTTGGCTGTGGGTGTTGGGTGCAAAGGGAAGTATATGATTTGCAAGATACGTATGGTTAGTAGGAAGTCCCTGTGTGTTTGCGCTAGCCTGGCCATAGAGCAATGGAGAACAAAGTGTTCCTCAGTAACCTCTTAGCATTCCAACAAAGAAGGAAACAATTATATGACCAGGAGAGCAGAGCCTCTTTCAGGGCAATCCAAAGAGGACATGATGTTAGGCAGATGAGACTTTGATGAATACAGAAATACCACTGAACTAATGGGCCACAACATTTATGGTTAGGAGGCTCATGTAGGTGGACAAGGAATTAAAAATATAGTGTGGTCCTTTTGGGGGTTATGACTGGTATGTTTGCATTAAATTATTGGGTAGAAACTTCTTAAGATGCCAGGTTTTCAAATATCAGAAACTGTAGAACATGGTAAATATCACAAACCTACATTTGAACTATCTCTAAAATGTATTTCCCCCAAAAGTTTAGAAAAGATATTTTCTCTTTGGAATCACAGATAATGCCAATTCCTCCACAAAAGGGTAAAGAATCAGTCTTATCTCTATAACAGCGTGAAATTCTTCAGAAGGTAAAAAGAAGTACCTAGTGACTAAGTTGTAGAACAGGGACAGCACAGATTATAGGTGAAGGCCACACATAAGGTTATTAGACCAAGCAATGCTTGTTATTAGACACCAGTGTGCTTCTGAACTGATTTAATTTTTCTCCACAGGGTGTCTTGTCTATTTAATCTACGTGTTGTCACTTCTAAAAACCAAATACCCAGGACACACAACACTGCTTCCCACCAGCCTCTCTACCAGAGTTTCCAGCACCAGCTTCAAATGTATAAACACAATCTTAGGCAAAATTCAGCCCAGAAATCCAGTCTTGAATGTATGTTTACAGACATTTAGACATTTTAATTCCAAACTCTGAATTTATTTTAAAATAAGAATGCAGGAAATTGAATGTGAACACTGGAAACGCAGTCCTTATGGAATTTACTTCACCTAATTCCCAGGCCTGTTGAAAATCAGCTGTTAAATCAAGCACCAAACAGTATAAACTGATTTATTGTTCTCCCTTCAGAGATCAATGGCTTACAATTTATGGTTTAGAATAATGCCATTTCATAAAACAAGGCAATCTGTACCATAAGTCTTCATTTAGGCAAAGGAACTGACCTCCAAGAGCCCCTACTTAAAAGATATCAGTACAATCATTTCCTTTTCTCCCACTCTGGCTTCCTCTGATGTCAGTAATTCTATCACCTCAGCTGTCTAAAAGGTGTTTGCATGTGATGGACAATTACCAAGGATCTGGTTCTTTTTAGATGGATCTTAATTAAGTTCAGTTTAATTAAGTCTGCCGTACAACTCCAGTCTCAGTACAAAATGCAAAAAGAATCAAATAGCAGATTTTTAAAGCCCATAAAAGCACATTTCAGACTTGGGGGAGAAAGGGGGCCTTTCAGCAGTCTGTACTGCCATCTAGCCAAGACCACATCACTCAGTGCGACACCAATTTGATTTGAAAAGCCCCTGAAAAAAGCAAGTCTCAGGCAACTAGCTTAATAGACCTCAAAGCTCAGTCGAACTGAAGGATAGACAGAAGTACTTCATCCACTCTGACTCTTCCAAACTTTCATGGACCAAGAGCCAAGTTGTAATCATTAACTTTATCTTCACAATTCAACATCTAGCAAAGAAAAGAAGATACCATGCTTGTTTTCATTCCATAGATTACCCACACCATTGTCATTTGTAGCTATGATTTTTTTAAGGCCTTTGAATATCCTGTGACCTTATTAGAAAAGTAGATAAAAGTTGCCTGAAGTAAGCCTTGCAAACTGAACTATCACCTCTAGTACTATAGCTGTAATTTAAGAGTTACAACAATCCCAAACCATATTCCTTAGATATTGATAGGATATGGGAATCACATACATTTGTGCAGAAATCAACATGCATGAAAAATAAATAGAACCCTTGGTACTTACGGTAGAAGACATATTCAGTGTAGCTTGACCAGAACTTGTCATCTGTGTACTGGTTGACGAAAGATGCTGTTACCGATGAGTTACAGGCCACCATGTGGAATCCACACTCTGACAGCATATCAAAAGCCCTTTCCAGATGCTTAAATTTGAGATAAAATCTGGAGGTGTATCTCTCCGGGGCTCTATCAGGGTCTCTGCTTTCATTCAAAGTTTCTCCAAAGACTTCCTTGGCCAAGGAAATCCTTCCACAAACCAAAATTCGGGGGACTCTGCGAAACTTGGCATCTGCTTGTCCCTCTCTACCCAAGGTGCAAGATCCCCTGTAACCCACAGTAATGAAACCCCACTTGCGGTCAGTAGGGAGCAGTGAGGAAGGGGGACAAATTCTTGGGTCGCTTCCTTGCGAGGCATCTTCAAAGTCACTGTGGCAGAATTCATCTGGGCTTTGCTTGATTTCATCAGGAGTCAGGAGTTTGACCAAGTCTGGGAGCTGGAAGTATTCTGCTTCTCTTTTCAGTCTTCCCCTTTCTGGAAAGTGATCAGGCAGGACCACCTGCCTGTCCCTGAGATAGTCCAGAATATAACGGAACAAAAATCCATCTCTGTCAATGAAAAACCTTCCCTTGGAGTCCTTGGCTATCTCGTTAGTCATGTCTCTCTTTGGGGAAAACATTTTCCAAAGGAGGGAATGAGGAACGCTTATTAGTGTAGAATGGCGAGTGAAGTAAACTTGACCCCCAACATTCAGCTCTATGACTTCAGGGAAGGAGTTGGGAACTGCTGCCCCTTGTTCTCGAGGGTAATAGGGACTGCAATTTCCACTCAGAGCCATTGTCCCTTTCTTCTGCTATTTTGATTTAAAGGTGCAGTCCAATGGAGTCACAGCCTCAGCCTTTGCATCAACTTGTGAGGGAAGGAAAAGGATGCTAACTTATTTAAAAATGATCTCCTCTTACCCCAGTTTCTTCTCCCAGAAAAGCAAAATTGAGAAGAGTCCACAGGTGAATGGATGCTGAAAAAGTAGTTTAAACCCCTGGCCGGTGATGCGCTCTTACTTCACGGAATATAATCAACTCATTTACAGCTGATCTTCCATCAAGCTCAGTAGGCAAGGCAGGCCAAGTTCCCGTTACTCAGAGGTCCATCTGAGGGAAAAGAGAAAAAATTATGTTCTCAAACGCAGAATGAGTCAGAAAAAGAGAGACCTCTGGAGAGAGAAGAGAGAGGGAGGGAAGAAGGAGGGAGAGATTATTTTACATAAGCAGCCCAGAAACAACTGATATCAGCCATTCCTCAATTAAATTGTAGCTTCCCTCATGCTATTTTGCGTCCTTATGTTTATCCCTAAGTCTCTGACTCCAGCAATTATATTAAAAACAATTCTATCTGTATCTCTGCGTTAAAAAGAAATATGCAATTTTCAGCTTCTAAACAGGGAGTTTTTAGAAGCAGGACAGGAAAAGCAATGTCTTAGAGCTTACCTGAGTGAGTGCTGGAAACCCAGTTCTTGTGAAGAAATAACCATTTCCAAAACAATCAAAATCCACAGCCACACTGAATCTGGATCTCATCAAATCCCAAACAGGTAAAGGACAGAGGTACCAATGGAAAGTGCCAGAGAGATGTGCTCTTGGGAAATAATTGTATAGACATATATAGCTAGACAGACGTATTTATATAGATGTAGATTTGTATATATGTATGTACGTGTATGTATTCACTCTCAATCTCAAGTTAAAACGAGCCACAAAAAAAGTTAAGCCGTGATGAGAGGAGGTTGGTTGAAGAAGTAAAGCAGAGAAAAATATTCAACCAAAGCTTCTCCAGGAAAAAAAAAAAAAAAAAAGAATCAAACCTTTAGAAGGATTCTTATAGCAGAGGAGAGTTGCAAGAGGTATCGGGACTTAGAAGCCTTTCAGAAAACCCAAAAGCAGAAAGCGGGACAGAGGCGCCAGCTGGGGCCCCAGGTAGCCACCCCGCCTGCGGGCACGGGCGGGCGGACTCCCATGCTCCCAGCCGGGGCGGGAGCGAGGCCGCCGGGCAGCCGAGCGCGGAGAGACCGGCGGGGCCGGGGCTCGGCGCTTCGGGCGGCGGCGCCGCTGGTTCCACAGCTCCCGGTGCAGTTCGGAGGCTGTTGTTTCAGCAGTGCAGGCAAGAAACCATCCAGGGAAATGACTATTACATCATCTTAAAGGAATAGGCTTGGAGAACGCGGAGGCAGCTCGGTCACGTCCTCCTCGGCGGTGACAGGTTGCCGGGACTGACGGCACGCGGCGCTCGGCGGGGCGGACTCGCGGGCGCTTCCCTCCCGCCGGTCAGTCCCTCCGTCCGAGTTTCCTGGGCCTTTTCTTGCTTACCTTCACCTCCAGGAACACTCCCAACACGCGCGCGCGTGCACTCACTCACACACTCTCACTCACTCACACTCACACACATGCTCACAGTCACTCTCACACATTCACGCTCACACACTCACACTTGCTCACACACACTCACTCTCTCTCTCACACACACACGCACAGCAATCACCCTTCACCCCAGTAGTGAGATAAACAGAAATGATTTTCATTTGAAAAAGAAAATCTTCAAAGAAACCATTTACAGGCGCACTGAATTTGCCCCTGAAGGGCGCATTTCCCCTCTAAAGATTCCCACCGAATGACTCAATGTTCAAGCTACAAAGTGTTCTTTTTCAAATCCTTTGATTAAAATCATATTCACTCAAATGCCCTTCTTTTCTTCCATCTCCCCCGCCACTACCACTCCAAATAATTAAATAAATCGCGCGCGCACACACACACACACACACACGAGCGTACAAACACGCACACACACACACTGGCGCGCGCACAGAAATTAATGCTGCTCTTTCAAAATGAACAATGAAACATCTATACCCACAGGAGGCTCACAGTTTCTAGCCCTAAGTCTCTACCTTGGCTTACCTGTAAGAGAGGACCACCTGCAACCTTTGCTGGGGCCGTTCCCTCACTGAGCCTCTCTTTGACATGCCCCTGCCCGCTCCCAGCCCATCCCAGAGGACCCCGGCGGAAGAGGCGCCTGCTAAGAGACATTCTACTCCTGTCCCACAGGGGTCCCTTAAGTGCATCATTAGAGCTTCAGGAAGGCATTTCCAGGGCAACCTAATCCACTCACAGAGTGCTTCCAGAGGAGCCTGCCAGTCAATAATGGCCCAGCCAAGAGCTTACAGTAAGTCAGCCATTTCCCCTGTAAAACCCCAGTGTCTTATGGCTCATCTTCCTTATAAGAATATACTACTTTATTAATGAATAATGTATGGGAGGCACACTCTCTCCCAAACAATTGCTATTTTTAAAAAGTAAAAACCAAAAACGGAGAGGAACATATGAATTAAGATACATTCGATAGGATACATGTGTCTATTGCCAATTCTGGAACCAAGAATTAGCTTAAGATATGCTCAACAGTAAGATAAATTAGTTTCTATTTTAGCAATCTTTTCTTTCAGTAAGCACTGGGTTACTGAACACGTTCAGAATATTAGCTAACACTCTAAGACCTGATTATATTTGACTTTGTTTCTTTAACTAATGCATTAACCTGTTTTGGCCTCAATCTCCAGGATTTTAACGCTGTACCAATCAAGGAAATGTTTATGTGATGCACTTATATTGCCATCTAGTGCCCTAAATTTTTAGTGCAGACTTGTATGCAGCTACTGAGCCCAAAAACTGTAGTTTTCCCTTATTTTTAAGTTTTTATAATAATTTAAGTCTACTTGGTATGAGCTAGTCACTGTGACAATAAGATAAACATTTCACTGCCACCAGGACAAGGATAAAAATAAATCTAAACCTATGCTTATTATGTGTTGGTTTTGGTTGTGAGTGGGACAGTACATCATAACAATAGCTTTGGAGATCAGGTGTTAAAATAGTCAAGGAATAGTTTAGGGATATTTAGGAATTCTAGGGCTTTAGCACATAGCCAGTAACCCCAGCATTCAGAATACTGAGGCAGGACAACCTATAGGATCTAAAATTTAAGACAGTCTGAGCTACAGAGCAAGACTCTGTCTCAAAAAAAAAAAAAAAAAAAAAAAAAAAAAGGCCTGGGGTAATTCGGCAGAAAATAGAGAAAGTGGCTAAGAAATACCAATCTTTAAAATTCAAAGAGACTTGAGAAATGAAACTCTACCATCCTACCTTAGATATACAAAACTGAGTTCCAGAGAGGGGCAGCATATCCACAGCACAGCTACAGCAGGAGGACAGGCTTCAGACCACTGTCTACTCTACAACCAATATCCTGTTTTCAATCTCATCTACACTAAACTAGGGACGGAGTGAGGGCAAATGAAGAAAATAAGAATTTCAAAATTACTAGATTTTTTTTAAACCCAAAAGTCATTTTAAAGAGTTTCTAATAATTTAAATTGCAAGGACTTATAGAAGATTTTACGATTTAAAAGAATAGTCTAATTTCAAAAGTTGACAGGTTCTATTCATTGATCTGTTTTATAGGATAGGTTGTTTGGTTTTTTTGGTACTAGGGAATTTTTTTTGAAACGAGGTTTTGCTAAGGTGCTAAATTGCTCAGTCTGGGCTCAAATTTGCATAAGTTAGATTATCTTTCAGACAAGTAGTTTTTAACAATTTTTGGAAAATTAAACCTGGAAAATTACCACAAAGCATAAATGTTTGCATTTGTTCTAAAGGCAGAGCCTCTAAGGAGGATTGAATAATGGGAAACCAGGGAACTATTACTTCACAGGGTTAGAAATCCTCTTATTCTAACTATAAAACTCCTCTTTGAAATGAGATGCGCACACGCTCACAGAGATGTATTGTAAGGACTGAAAAAAAAATAAAACATTCACCAGACAACCTTAATGCTGTAATCTATAATTTGCCAGTATCACCTGAAACATAGCCTAAAGCTTTCATAAACGCTGTGAATGTGAAATCCTATGTTTTCACCTTACGTTATATTGTTCTGTGCTAAAAGTGTTTATTTTAGTAAACAGTTAATAAGAACCAACTGCTTTGCTAGCTCTCTGAAAATCTCTACTTTTTAATTTACCCATAGCCTCAAGAAATGAGGAATGTCTATGTCTCACACCTCCCGACAGGCTAGGGGTACAGTTGGGGTGTCCACTGAAATCTGTTCCCATTGGGGTCTACAGAAGTCAAGTCCACCCCCCAATACATTATACTTCTTGTTCCATTAGTCTCAAGGATGAAAGCAAATGAAAGGTAAGATTTTAAAAAATATAAGCATTGAAAGGAACTCCCTACAGAGATTTAAATAGTGCTGGAGTATGCTAGTATGTCTCAGGGATCTTGTCAGTGAGCCCGGCTGTTTGGTCCCTTAACAAGAGGCAGGAAGCCAAGCCTAGGCTGTAAGTGTTCCTGTCCTTCGTGTCAGCAGATAACGCTGGGAGTGTTATTATTCTCTTCTGGCAGCTCTCTGCTGAAATACTGTGGGATGGCACATTCGGCCTGAAGCCTGAACAACAGACAGCAACGATTCTCTTAGGGAAAAAGCAAGGGAAAAGTGTTCCATCCTGTTCTTTGTAATATTTAAACATACAGCACATCAAGACCTGTGTTAGGTAAATTGTGAAATTGATAAAATATGCCTTAGGCTGTGTTTCCTTGTCCCACTCCTGTAGCTGAATGTTGAAGAGTACTATTCTCAAAAGGACAATTTTAATTTTGGAGTAGTATGATCACATCCCACATCCTTACACCTAACCTACTCTTAAGTTTCCTCTCACACCAAGCAGAGATAGTTTTTATGCTGACTGCCTTTGCTCTCAGGCAGAGAATTGATCTCATAAACTGACTCATGCTAACATGCTGTGCACTCACTGTGTTTTGCACGCCTGCATTATCACCAGCGACCATAATAGCTGCTGTTTATGGAGGTTGATCCCCAAGTCCCCACCATAATCTCTACCCCTTGTCTACCCATCTGCCTGGCTGTGTGACTTTGGGCAGGAAACTCAGTATCTACCAGCGCAGCCAGGGTTAAATGACAATAAGAAATCCTACCTCGTAAGTGTGTTGTGCAAATTATTTCAATGTGTGTAAGTCCTCTGGCATGTTCTGTGGTTCTTAGTGAAGTTGCAATAAATGCCATCAGTATTCACAACAGCAGTAAAGTCATTGTTCTCCAGCCTTAATAGAGACATAAAGAAATAACAAAAAACACCCAAATTCAGTTCCACTTCAAAAACATTTTTCTCACCAATATGAAATGGCAGGTAAAGATGCTTGCTCACTGAGTTTTAGGTTTTGTGGAGGGAGATGTAATAACAGAGTAGCAACTGAAAAAAATCACTGTCTCAATGACTAAAAATGAATATACCACTACCTTTTGAAAGAAAAAAAAAAAAAAGGTTACTTTCCTGGTACCCATCCCTTCATGTCACACAGATCTAGTAAGTGGCTGTGTCAGATCCAGCACAGCACTAGGTAGTTGAGATACAAAGTTAAATTTGATATCGTCTCTCTCTGAACTCAAACAATCAAATGCAAGCACATGCTCAAATTCAAAATCATACCAATGGAAAAAACTGTTTAAAGGTTAGAGACACTTGAGCGCCGCCTTTTATTTGCTGAAATATGCCTGGTACTGTGTGCTGCCCTTGGTTCTACATAGTTCACTTATGATGCAGAGAAAACACTTAACCTCAGGTAGCCTCTGCTTCCCTATCTATAAAATGAAGCTTACAGAGATCCTGTGACTGATGACAAAATAAAGACAAAATACAGCTGCCAAGTCTTCAGAGCCATCCTAGGAAGTGATTTGCTATGTAAGAAGCAAACGATGAAGGCAGCAAACAGTGCTCTTTCTTGATGATATGAAACTTTACAAGAAAGAATCTGTATAATCTTAAAGTTGAAGAAGGAGATGCTTCCAGGCCATCCACGCTAGCCGCAGAATCAGCTAAAGTTTCGAGATAATAGCAAATGCTCAGTCTAGTAATTTGTCTCATAGTCTTTCCCTGAAAATACCCTTGAACTCTACTCACATAAAATAAAAATAAAAGCAAAAGCTGTTTATATCACCACAGCACCTCTGAATAGAAGTCTACCGGATAAAGTTCTTCCAAGTAAGCCATCATTTTCAAATCTAATTTTAAAAAAATATATATGCCACTAGAGCCAGGTGTGGCAGCACATGCCTGTAATCCCAGCACTCAGGAGGCTGAGGTAGGAGGATCACCATGAGTTCAAGGCCAGCCTGGGCTACAGAGCAAGACCTCGTCTCAAAAAATATATATATGTATGGTGTGAGAAAAAGTATGAGAGCAACATTATTGAATGTGTTAGGAGAGTGTAAGGATTTTAGTGCGTGTATGTGGGTATGTAGGTAGAACAGTAGTATCTATAGTAGATATGAAATCACATTTTAAGTCTCCCTTCAAAATTTGTCTGGAACAAACAGTCAAGGTTGGAAGGGTATAATTTAACCACGAAGCTGGGAAAATCCAACTCTTACATATGTGTTTTAAAACTATAATCTCATTAGCATGAAGCCTAACCAGCAGAAATATTGACTCATCTCTTTTTTTTCTTAATTTTTTTTAAGGCAGAGTCTCCTTAAATTTCCCAGGCTAGCCTCAAACTTTGGCTCCTCCTGCCTCAGCCTCTCACATAGCTGGGATTACAGGTACACACCATAGTGCTTATTTCTTTTTTTTTTTTTTTTTTTTTTTTTGGTTTTTGGTTTTTTCTCCGGTACCGGGAACCGAACTCACGACCTTGCGCTTGCCAGGCAGGCGCTTTTTGCCGCTGAGCTA